CGTGGCCCTCCTCTCCTTGATGCAGCCCAGGGTACGGTTGGCCTTCTGGGCTGCCAGCGCACATTGCCGGCCCATGTCCAGCTTTTTGTCCATCAGTACCCCCAAGTCCCTCTCAGCAGGGCTGCTCTCGATCCTTTCTTCCCCCAGCCTGTATTGATACCAGGGGTTGCCCTGACCCAGGTGCATGACCTTGCACTTGGCCTTGTTGAACCTCATAAGGTTCACACAGGCCCACCTCTCCAACTTGTCCAGGTCTCTTCGGATGATATCCTGTCCTTCTGGCGTATCAACTGCACCACTCAGCTTGGTATCATCTCCAAACTTGCTGAGGGTACACTCGAATAGGGAAGTCCTGCCCGTGCTGGTGAAACAGGGAGACTTACCCGCCTTTCTTTGAGAGCAGAGGTGTCCCTCTTCCAACCCTCTCCCAGTAAGTGATCTAGCACTACTGATATATGTGTTGGTGTCACATCTGAACTGGACTGTGGTCTTAATGAACAGTTTCTCTAGTTGCAGAGCAAACCAGCAACTCTATAGCTAACAAAGGTCAAGTGTTGAACACTTCACAGGTCTTATGGGAGGGACCAGCTCCATTCAGCAAGTCGCTCCTAGCTTACTTACTTAAAGGCTCTTGAAAACGCAGTGAAAGTCTGAGTGCAGGTGCTGGGACACTGCACGCTCCTTTCTGAACCACAGCTGGGCCAGAAGAGAAAAATATCCTCTTCCACAGCTGAGCAGGCTCTCCCTTGTGACCACGGTTTATGAGGTTCCTCCCTGCACTAGTCCAAACTTGACCTGCTTCATAGGGAAACTGTATTTTGAGAGTCTCAGAGTCTGGTCTGGACTTGACCAAAGCATTCAAGTTATCCTTGTTTGCGGTATCACCCATGTGGGCCATGCTGAGCCACAGCAGGGCTGGGAGGAGCATGCTCAAGGCAGCACAAGCAAAGCAGCTGCCAGCATGAAAGCAAGTTTAATCCAAGGTTTCTGCCCCAGAACAGAGCTGCCTGTTCCTTCCATCCTCTTTATGCTACAAGGAGACCAACTCCAACACTGATGCAAGCCTCCTGCGCACTGCAGTGGTGTGTTACCAGCTGAGCTGATAATTTGAATGTACAAGTCTCTCTGCCTTCCCCTGTCTTTCAATGTTGGGAACAGGCTGGGTCCTGCTCAGAAGGAACCCGGGGAGGGCAGGGTTGGAAATGTTGCCCCTTGGCACTGCAAACTGCTGGTCAGAGCACACCAGAAACAGCAAGAGCAGGCAGGCGCTGCACCACTCCTCAGCCCTCCTAGGCTGATGGTGGTGACATAAGGGGCTGTAACCCTGCCTCAGATGCTCAGGATGCTGCAAGCAGGTCAAGTGGTGTATACATGGCAAGAGGTTTCCTTTCCAGCTTTTCTCCTTGCTTGTTTTCTCCGCAGGGAGAAAGCACAGAGTCAGAACTGTACTGCAAAAAAGGGCTGTTTGTCTTGGTTGGGTTGTGGTCAGGCCTGCCTTGGAAGGAAGGAATTAGTTCTGTTCTCCTGCAGACCTGCCTTGCCAAAGCACAGCAGGGAAGGAAAGCAGAACTGGAGAGGCCAGCCCAGGTGAAATGCTTCTGAATGCTGCACAAAGTCACACGAGGCTGTAGATGAAGGTCAGATAGTGACACCCCCCACCCTCTCTTCAGAGTGGGGGCTGGAGGACAAAGAGAGCTTCTGAGAAGCAATACCCAAATCCTATGGACTGTAACTTGTTCCAAAATGCACATAATCTCATGACCTTGGGACCTCTGTACAAAACAGCCTCACAAACCGCACCCTATTTTGCAATGACACCCAAGACTCACTCACTTCCCTATGAACTATTCCTCTTTCCAGAGTCCCAGCTGAAACCAGACATCACTGGAGTGATTTATTCACCCCTGACTCACCAAGACAAAGGCATCAGTGGCCAAAGAGAGCATTGAAACCTCCTTGGACATGCACAGCACCTGCCAATTGACCCTGCTCAAGGAGCTCATGCATTCAGCCAACCCTTGGAGAAGCAGTGCACAGACAAGGGAGGTAGGAGAATGGGAGCAATCCCTGCCTGAGCCTATAGGCTTGTTCTGAGTCGTGGAGCAAGCCTCTGGGTCTTGGCTAGGAAAGGCTAAGTACAGCAGTGACATCTTTGGCTGGGAAAGCAGAGCTCAGTAAAGTGACGTGAGAATTATTGACTATACTCTGGTCCCACCTTTCCAGGCCCCATCTGCCCACTAATATTTGGCAGCAAAGCAAGCAGCAGTTTCTTTGCTCTTTCATGCAGGATTTCAGCCATCCCTCCTGCCCACTTGCTTCCTCACAGGCTGTGCTCCAGACTAAAACAGCTTCATTCTCTCACTACTGCTAGGAGCTTCATCAAAAGAGAAAGCATAGGTATGTAAAGGAACATTGCACAGAGAGGTCTGCCTGCCCAAAGTTTTGCTTAGTCCTAGGACTTCTCTCTTAAGTTAAGATTTAGTGAAGGAAATTGCAGTTTTTAGATCCCAGTCTAGCATTTAATGCAGACTTCTTTTGTCCAGACAGGCAGCTTCTGCCAAGGCTTGGTATCTCTGTTAAGCTCTTTTTTTTTTCCTCCTGGCTGGGCAGGAGAACCTTTGGGGCACTGCCCTGGTCTCAGACTTGTGGGAGGTCTCAACACCTGCCTTCCTAGTCCAGCTCTCTGCGTTACCTGAAGTTCTTCTCTGCTTTGTCAAGGACAAAGGAAAAGGATCAGATGTATGGGTGAGGTCTAAGAGCAGAGCAATCACATCCCTGTCCTCCCTTATGCCCTCCATGATGCACACGAGCTGCGTTCATTGCTCCTCCATGCTCCCTGCACCGCTCATGGTGTTGCAGCCTGACACGTCCTCCTGTTCCCAGGCTAAAGAGCCTCGGTTGCTCTGCACTGAAGCAAACCTGCCCAAATCTGCAGGCAGCTTTGTTCCCCCTCTGCACTGTTTCTTGTTCCCCTGCAGTCTGCGAGATGAGCAATTTCAAAAACAGGCTGCAATGGAAGACTCCAGTCTGCTATGGGTTTGTCCTCTCCAATCGGATCTTGTGCTCTGGAGGACTTTCACTGTTTTCTTTTTGACAGGTGCTAAGCTGACATTTCCAAATCATTGTCTCTGAAGCCTCTCCCAGCCTGACAGAAAGGTCACCACAGCTTAGGCTACTGCCCTCTGCCTTTCTCCATGCTTGTTCTGGAAGGTTTTCTAAATGTGCTACTCTTGCCTCCCATCAGTCAGTGGCAAGAGGCCGTTCTGCAATTTCTGGTTTTACCTGAGATTGCGCTGAAAAATTCCATAGCATCAGCAAAACCAGCTCGTGGTTCATCTCTTTTCCAGATCACCCGAGTATGCTGAACCCCACACCTCCCCACAGACCCTCAAAGGAGCTTGCCGCTTCCCTCCCGTGACACAACCTATTGCTTCCTCCTGTCTCCCTGCAGAAAAGACCCTGTCCTTCACAAAGCTGATGCCTTTGAGAAGCTTCTTGGAAATTCGAGGACTTTTACAACGTCAGCAATATCCTATAGTCCTTCAAAGGGCTCTAGCCAACCAGGAGATGAGACTCCCTTACAAAAGCAAAACCCAAACTTTCCATTATATTTAACAGGAAGTTATATGCTAATTTGACTGGTGGTTTCAGCCATTTTGACCTGTGGTTTCAGCCATTTTAACCAGCACAGAAACCTCATTAACAGGTACAGGATTTGTATGCTGTTTTTTCCCAGGCCCTTCTGAGGCTCACTGGGATGTTGGCCACACGCCACCCAGGTACGAAGGTCAATTTAAGCAATAAGGCAATTACATAATTTCTAAAGCCAGTCAGACATGAAACAATGTTTGAGTGTGGAAATTTCTCACCTATGCTACCTTTTATTGCATTCATATCTCTCCCCTGGAAAATGCGTGAGAACATTCCCAATTTTAAGAGCAAAGAAAGAGGCAGGTAAATTCACCCAGGCATTTTTACACTCTGGCCATATCTGTCTGAAATGCTTATTTTACGCTCCTACTGCCTATGAGCCCTGGAGTCACACTCCCTGGCAGCACACCATTGCAGAGGCTGCACTTGAAGTTTTTCATTAGTTCCTTTGATGTTCCTTCAGCAAGCTATTTTGTTCCCATCTTTTTTTATACTCCCTTATGATGGTTTTATGTTTAACATGCCCCTGTTTGTTCTCTATTTTCTTTTCCCTGCCTGGGCATGAATTGTACCCTTTGAAGACTGCCTGTTCGCTTCTGATGCCTCCTTTCCTTTCTTGTTTTATTACAGAACTTTTTGAGGGTCTGTGGATAGGCTGCCTTCCTCTGAGCTTTTGGCACCACCTTCACATACGTTTTACCCTTTCAGGTATCAGTGGAAGAGCAGTAATACTGTTTTCCTCTTGTTTCAGAGTGTCAGTGCATAGAGTGCCTTGGGTGGATGGCTCCACAAAGACAGAGCAGACCTTCCTGTTCCTGCTCTGCATTTTAGCACCTCGTATCCTACATGCTTTGGGATTCAAGTGTCTTACAACATTATCCTCAGCAGACAAGTAGTTCCAAGCCTGTGCTCTGTTCTTTGTGGCCTTTTCCTCTGGCCTTCAGAGCAAGGCAGCAGCACAAGCTCCCCTTGCACCTTCCCACGCTCCATACCTTGCTCCAGGAGAGGTGGTCTGGGACGCTGTCAATAGAGAGAGCGATCATCTTCACGTTGCGCTTGCTGAACTCGGGCGCCAGCTTCGCCGCCCGGCCAAGCTCTGTGGTGCAGACAGGCGTGAAGTCCCTCGGGTGAGAGAAGAGGATGCCCCATCTGAAAGGTGAGAGCAGGAGATGGCATTAGGATGAGATGTCATTCCGGTTTGTACTGCAGACGAAAAGCTGCACAGATTGCACTGCACGGAGACCAGTATGGGCACAGCACATCTCTCTGCTATGTGGAGATCCTGTCCTGGGAACTATTCCTTCCCTATCGCTAGAAGCCTTCACAAGATGAGCCCTGTTCATCATGCTCTGAGAAACTCCCTGTGCCTCACTCCCTCTCTACCCCCAGGGGATGCTGGAACAGCCCACTGATCCCGATGTGGAAGTGGATACCATGCAATGTGAGGAAGTTTGGGGGAGCCACGTGTATACTCTGTACCTCAGGGACCACATGTGTGAGGGCATGTAGATGCCAACCTGCCAGCCATATTATTGCAGAGATCATGACTGATTTACGAGGCTATTCACTGTCCTGTATACATCATCGACCACTGTGAGGAGATACACCCATGTATATCATGCAACTTAAACTAATGGGGTAGGACCAAACCTTAACCCAACCACTGCAGCGAGCTGCTGAAGGTACTTCATGGAAAAAATAAGAATTAGTCAACTAACAGGGTAGGCCAGAAGTTGACATCATATTATGGCTATAGTTACAACAATACTGCCACCTCACTTTCGCCCACTGCTTCCCATCAGTGGATTTTGCAGTCTTTAGAGCAGGCAAATACAAGTCACCCCACTTTACAGCTAAGGCAACTGGGGCACAGAGAAAGGCAGCAACGCAGCCCAGCAGCAAGATGGGCTTATGGCAAAATGGCTCCCAGCTCTCAGGAGTTTCCAGAGGCTAACACAAAGCCACCCCCAGCACTTGAAATTCCCTGCCAGGGACTTGTCGCACTGCTCTTCATTGGGTCCCCAGCGCTCAGTAAGTACAGCTGCACACCACAGTAGCTGGGGAAAGTCTTGCCTTAGAGGTTCGGGAAGGGAGCTGGAGGGATCAAGTGAGGCACCCTGCAGGTCTGCCAGAGCCATGCAGTTGCCACGGCTCACCATGAAGTTACGGGGCAGCTACCCAGCCACTGGTGCTACAAGTCTCTTTATACAGTAAGTATGCTACTTGAATAAAAAGGCAGCAGACAACCAAGCAGAAGCTGGCCATGACAGCTGCCGTCTGGGTGATCAGGCTGGAACAGCCAGTTTCAAGAAGCCCTGCAGCTCATTTTCTTGCTAAGAGGGGTCCTTTTTCCTGACTTGCCCAAGCTCACAGCGCTGACAGTGGACTCAAATGCTGATTCAAGCCTGCCAAACGCCGTTGGGAGCGAGTCCCAGGGGCGCGGTGCCAGCACCCTC